GGTACACCCAAGTAACCATATTGTAATCATCAACAATTGTTAAGAAATACTTAAAACCATAATGAGATTGAAATGAAAAGGGTCCCCATAGGTCACAGTGGATAAGATCAAAGGGATTATCTAAAGTAGAAGTGTTTATTGGACATTAAACCTTCTTTTGTCTAGAGTAGTGACAGACATCGCAAAGGTTAACATGTTTACAAGTCTTGTTAGAAAAAGGTAGTTTCAGTTTGCTAAATGATAAATAGCTTAATCTATAATGTCATATTCTATTGTTTGATGTAGAAGCATTTACATGTAAAGGTGAAGTTACATTCTCAACAAGAAGTAGAGAGGTAGAATAATGAATAGTATGAAATGATGGTAATGACATAGCAGAGATATATGTAGGACCTTGTGATGAGAGACGATAGAGACCTTCTTTTAGTTCAACAAAACCAATCGTTTTGTGAGTTGTGAGGTCCTGTATGATACAATAAGAGGATACAAATTAAACACAACATGAATTTGTGGAGACTAATTTTGAGACTAATAGTAAGTTGAATTTAAATGTAAGAACATATAAAATGCCAGTCAAGATTATAGTAAAATCTAAATGTACAGTTTCTATGAGTGATGTTATAGTGTGCCTACCATTAGGTAAGTTTATTTTAGTAGAAGTTTGAGAAGCATGCACAATATAAAGAGATGCATCACATATCATGTGGTTTGTTGCCCCAGTGTCTACTATCAAAGAACATTTAGAAAGTTGTGTATTAGCAGCACATGATAAGGACAACTTAACTGATGCCTCATAAAAGACTGTAGCAACAGCAAGAGTGGTTTTAGTATTCTCTGTTGTCATGTTTGTTTTCTTAGAACGTTTGAATTCTAGAAACTCATAAAACAAACGATTAGTAAGAAAGTCAACATTAATATATTTAGAAGGTGAGCCATTAGTCATATTGGCATTGGTTGGATGATTAGGATTAATTCTAGGGCCTTGCCAATGAGAAGGGTAGCCAATGACTTGATAGCATCGATCAGAAGAGTGACCATGGTAAACACAATGAAGGCATTTTATGCGTTTCTTGTCTTTGTTTTCATTGGAAAAAAAGGGTAGATGAGGTTTTTGAGTTATGTTTGATTTGGCTATCATAGCAAGAGAGTCAATAGGTTTTGTGGTACTAGGGACAACACGTTGGCTTTCTTCTTGAAGTAGGAGAAAGTAAGCAGTCGATAGAGAGGGCAAGGGAGTAGACAATATGATGTGGTAACGAATAGAAGTATAGGACTCATGCAAGCGACCAAGAAATTTCAGAACGAAGTTATTTTGTTGTGCAATTGCCATATATCCAAACACATTGCAGGTGCAATTGGCAATGGTACCAAAATGACATTTACAGAGGGCGATAAGTCACGTATTTGTCCCATAAGGATTTAAAAAGATTGTAGTATTGAGTTATGGACATAAATCCTTGATCAATGGTACTTGGGGATTTTTAGAGTTGAAAAATCGTAAGTCCACTACTTAGGGCATAACAAATACTGGTTTCATCCTAAACCTTTTTGGCAGTGTTAAAAAACAATAGAGATTGACGATCTCTTTAGTAATTGAATTGAGAAGCCAGGACGGGACGAAATTATTAGCGCATATCCATGAAAGATAAAGAGCAAAGTTATCGGTAGGGGAAGGAACGACGATAGGTCCGTCGATAAAGCCGACCTTGTTCTTCACACTAAAGGCGACCATGATGAATGCGCGACTCCAAAAAACGTAGTTCTCGCCATTGAATGGATCGACGATGATGAGAGCGTCGGGATTGTCACTGACCTGCAAATACAACGACGATGAGGGGTCGTTAGTAGGATTTTCCATCGGCATCAACAAATTGAAGAGGAATATCTAAGGAGGTCGAAAGGATTGGAGGATTTTTAGGTGATTGATACCATATTAAGTTTTCAATCAGGGGCGGAGCCACCACAAAGGTTGGGATGGGCTCCTGCCCGGTCTTAAATTTTGGACTTTGTTAATTTTATACTAGTAAAAAAAAATATTTTAGCCCATGTTACTTTAGCATTAGTCCAGTTCTTATATTGAAAAAAAAATAAGTTAATTTATTTTATATTAAATTGATGAATTATATATTTGACCATGATTTAAGTTTCTTTCCACTTTTATTTTTAGATTATTATATCCCTTTTATGTCATTTTTTTAGATTTTATTTTAATAATTTTATTCGAGACAATATTTGATTGTGTTAGAGTTTTATTAGAATACTTACTATGTGATTGAATATATAGATTTCACAATCAAGTTTATATATTCTCTGAATTATTAATAATGACTTGATTATATGAAATTTACTACTAAATCTCATTTATTTGTCTAACAAATTCAATGAAATGGCATTTGTACTTTAATGACATGTCATACGACAAGAATAACATGACTATTACACTGTTTTATAGTAGTTCTTTTAATAAATTATATTTTTTAATTAAAATTCAAGTACATGAGAAAATTATCTTTGTACATTTTTAAAGAAAAAATAAATATTTGTCATATGTATAAGAGAGTAGTTAAAACTCCAAGTTTTTATTAAAGGAGAGTCATCTCCATATAAAACATGACTAGTTAGAAGTAAAATAATTTTTATTTTATAAATGCAACATTCACTTTTTGATATTATTTATTGTGATTCATGCAATTTATGTTGATTTAAAAATAATTTTCAAATTTTGATTTTTTTATACATGTGTCTATCTAGAATTTTTGAATCGAGTATTTTAAGTTCGAGCTCGTGCTCGTTTAATAAACGAGTTGTCGTGATTCAACTCGTTTAATAAACAAATAAAAATTTTAGCTTGGGTTCGACTCGTATAAACTCAGTTCAAGTCATTTAGTAAATTTTAAAACATAGACCAAAATCCAAAACTCTAACCGAATTATTCGCAAACACGTTCGATTCGACTTGTTTGATAGACAAGTTCGATTAATTGTTCGAGTTTGGCTTGTTTAAATATATAAGCATTACAAGTAGAATCGACCTATATTAGATGACAACTTAGTTCGAATGACAGTTGCATATTTTGTAGTCTTGGATAAAAAAAAAAATTGGCTACGCCCCTGTTTCTAATGTTTAGGTTTTGTGAGGGAAAGATGGACAAACACGGGGAGAGAGGAGGGAGAAAACAAACTGAGACTTTTTTTCCAACTTCAAATTTCATTAAAAGAAAACTCAGAATATACATACGCATAGCCAACCGGCTACAAATTAAACACCTTACCTGACAGACCAGATAAGAGTTAACACGAGGGATTACACAATGAACCCCCTACACAACCAACTAGGCCAAACAAGTAAAAAAACAAGCAAAAAACTACAAACTAAGTTCAAACCACATTAATTTTCATCCCTGCTAAGCACAGCTACAAAGGAACAAGAATTAAAGCAAGATATTAAGCCATAGAAACCCTGTGTCAATGTAACATCCCCACAGGTAACATTTTGTCTTTCCACAAGTTTGCTTCTGAGATGTTCGTCATTGACCTAAATTTCCACAGCTTGCCACCCAGGTTCTTTGCCTAAGAATAACCACTCTTGTAAGCCTTTAAGCTCCTGTCCTCCAATCTGATGGATCTGAGATTCTTGAACCTTTCACCTCTGAACCAATTTGTCCCTATGCCAAGCCACTCCCTTCACAAACCCAGTCCCTTCAATAGTTACATTAGCACTGAGCCCACACACCTGAGCCCCTACTCCTTGCAACCTGCCAGCCCCTCCTCTACTAGGTTCATTAACACCTTCAAACTCCAGCCATTCCTTGTATGCTTTGTCTACTACCTGCTTCTCTGCCACCCATTCTTGATTGAATATCCAACCATTTCTCGTAGTCCACAACCACCACATGATAAAGGTTGACAATGAAATCCTATCCTTTCCACTTCCTTTGAGTTTTAAGGTACAGACCTCCTCCCACCATCCTTTGAAATCCACATGTGGCTGTTGTAGCTGTTCCCAAAAACCCCTGCTAATTTCCACACTCTCCTTGCTCTGCCACAGGTAAACAAGATATGCTCTAATGTCTCTCTCTCCTCCCCACATCCTCTGCACTTGTCATCCTCCACCACCCCTCTGCTACACAAATTACTCATAGTGCTTATACAATTGTGGTAACACCTCCACAGAAAGTATCTCCCTTTTATCACCCTACTCATCAACATATTAAGTCTAGTCATAACCCTCCAAAGCTGTTTAATAATGAGAGCTACATTAAAATCCTCAAACACCTTAAACAAACTGAGACTTTGAATTGGATTAATGGAAAAAGTGTGTGTACAATGTGGAAAAATAACTATTTATAATAACCATCTATTTTACAGTTTTTACTAGACTAGAGTTGTCATTTGTATTTGTGACAACTAACTAAAACTAATGATACAATTGGCATAAGAGTAATTTTACGGTCGTATTTATAATATTGTCAGAAACACAGTAAAATATATATTTGGTGGACTCTGCCCTTCGTTTTATGTTAAAATACTTCAAAATACAAAGGAAATAATTTTGTGAAGTAAAAATTGAAAAAAAAGAAATTAATAATTTCAGCGGTAGGTGAATGAGATGAGGAAGAAAACAATCGGCACTTGACTTTGAATGCAACGTGAGTTGACTGCAAACATGGTATGATTCATTAATTACTTGTTTTTGCCTATTTTAATTTTTGGACTCATTTATTATTACTTAACTTAGAGACAATTGATGTAGACGTCATAATGAGAACTATACATTGTTGAATATGTCAGGTAAATGAGTAAGGCAGTGGACCGAATATCGGCTACAAATCCGTCCCAGTGCACTGCCGTCACCTTGACGTGATTACAACGTCATATTCTTATTTGTCCCTTTCACCTACTCTATTTTTTGATTTTTCAGCTACCTTCAAAATTAAGATGGATATTGTTTTTTTGAAAAAAGGAAGTGCAAAACTACTGATTGTAATTTCTGACTAATTTCAAAACTTTAAATGGTAAAATATAAATGTTACATGTATTGGCGAGATCTCAAGGTTTTGAGTTTAGACTAATACCCCAAATAAATAAATGAATAAATAAATAAATAAATAATAATAATGATAGTACATGCTTGACGGCTTGACCTTCTACGAGGTTCCATTTATTTGGTGAGAGCTTTTGTTCCTATAAATACCGTGGGTGGGTTTGTGGTAAAGCTCATCCCACAAAACTCAAACCCCATTCTTGTGTACATCCTTGAAACCAAATTTCCTTATAAAAAAAAAAAATGGCAGAACAGAAAAGCAAGATTCTGATAATCGGAGGTACGGGGTACATCGGTAAATTCATAGTCGAAGCCAGCGCTAAATCCGGCCACCCCACCTTCGCCTTAGTCCGCGAATCCGCAGTCTCCGATCCCGTCAAGGGCAAAATCGTCCAGGAATTCAAGAATTCTGGCGTCACCATTGTCACCGTCCGTATTATTTCAAATTTAATTTTATGTGATGAAACGTATTTTTTTTTTCTTTATATCGAATTTCAATTTATTTTTAATGCACAGGGTGATCTGTACGACCACGACAGCTTGGTGAAGGCGATCAAGCAAGTCGACGTTGTTATATCCACCGTTGGATCCTTGCAATTGGCCGATCAAGACAAGATTATTGCTGCTATTAAGGAGGCTGGAAATATTAAGGTAAAAAAAATTGAAACATTTACCATTTTGAAGAAAAAGGGTTGGGACAAAATTGGGACCTTGTTAACATTTTATTTTCTTTAATAATTCTTGCAGAGGTTTTTCCCGTCGGAATTCGGTAACGACGTGGATCGGACTCGGGCTGTTGAGCCCGCTAAATCCACTTTCGAACTGAAGGCCCAAATCCGTAGGGCTATCGAGGCCCAAAACATTCCGTACACATATGTCTCGTCCAATTACTTCGCGGGCTATTCACTTCCGTCTCTGCTTCAGGGGAATTTAACTGCTCCTCCTAGAGACAAAGTTACCATCTTAGGAGATGGCAATACCAAAGGTAATTAATTAATTAATTAATTCATTGATATTGAAATGTGAATTATTACATTTTGATGAGGTGAATTCTTAATTTTCAAATTGTTTTAGGTGTGTTCAATTACGAGCAAGACATCGGGACTTACACGATCAAAGCTGTGGATGATCCAAGGACACTGAACAAAATTCTCTACGTTCGGCCTTCGAAAAACATATACTCGTTTAACGAGCTCGTGGCTTTGTGGGAGAAGAAAATCGGGAAGACTCTCGAAAAAGAATATGTTTCCGAAGAACAACTGCTTAAGCAGATACAGGGTGAGTTGAATCGTTAATTTGAAAATAATTTCATTGCGAATTGTTGTTTGCTTAATTAACTTAATTTTTTTTTGCAGAATCACCGATTCCATTTAATATAATTCTGGCAATCAACCACTCGATTTTCGTGAAGGGAGATCAAACTTACTTTGAAATCGAGCCATCGTTTGGGGTTGAGGCCTCGGAACTTTATCCGGATGTTAAGTACAAAACTGTGGAGGAGTATCTTGATCAGTTTGTGTGAAAGAAAATGTGATCTGTGGGAAGGCTTACCTATAATTGGTTTATCTTTGGTCTTGAGTTTTTTTTTTTTCAAGTGCTTTGTTATGGCAGAAATTCTATGGTGTCTTGTATTTGTTGTTTAATAATGGAAGCATTTGGTCAATAAAAATGGAGATTGCTTGAGATTTGATTGCTTGTGTTGTTTTCAACCGAGCCGATTTGTCTCATTTATCAATATTAACAACTCAAAAATTACATAAAAGTTTCTACAAATATAATGTTCTTTGTCTCATTTATCAATATTAACAACTCAAAAATTACATAAAAGTTCCTACAAATATAATGTTTCATTAAGGTTCTTATCACAGTTATCGCTGTAAAAAAATTGTCATTGCAATGAAAAATTTAATGGTAATATTTTTCAACTAAAATTACAATGGATATTCGAATGATATAAATTCCGTTTGAATCATTTGCTATAAAGTATTATGTTGGAATGAGTTTTCCATTGAAATTTTAGATGGAATTTGGCAATTTCAACTTTTTTTACCATAGTAATTCTGTCGAATTTTTTTCACTCATATTTCAATTATTGAAAAATCTACCGTTAGAATCATCAAATTCAACGGAAATTTTAATAGAAAACTCATTCTAGTGTAATATTTTTGTTGAAATTTTCGTTAGAGTCAATTGAAAAGTTTCAACTGAAATAATAATATTGGAATATCCAATTCCATAGGAATATAGCGTTGAAATTTCAATATTTTTTGTAGTGAGTGCTAATACATAAACTTGAGCCTTGTTTTGT